CGCCTATTCCTTTTTGTACTCTAATCGTTCTAATAGTAATAATTCGGTGTTTGCCTATCCTGGAGAGGTTTTACCTCAATAGAACCGGAAGGGACACAATAGCGCTGCAATTCAGGACAGTTATCCCTCAACCAAAGCAGAAGTTTAAATAAAACAAAGAAATAGAGTCCAAAGCAAAAATATATCATCACTGAAGAAATCGTCATTTTCTTTATCTGTGATATATATACATGCATATATGCATTTACATTGGATTTGTTTTGAAGTACTATAACTAATGTATTATATGACGGACGTTTGTTGTACTTCTTGTATCCACAGTCTATATTGGGTTCGACCATCAGAATAAAAAAAAAGGATCATACTTTGTTTTCAACGTGTATAACGACAAGAAAAAAAGCACTGCCATACCTTTCCAATTGTGATAAGAAAGAACAAGGACCTTCAGTAATTAATTTATTCACCCCTGAAATTTCATAATGAACTATTCCAACCTTTGGTTTGGAAGAGTTCAAATGTGTCTTCTGGAGTAAATGAGTTTAATGTTTGATAATAACGTAAATACCCAGTCTACCATTAGCATGATCTGTGACAGTGCTCGGTAGTATACGAGTTTTTGATATTCTCGTATCAGAATCAGTTTAAATTGACCTTCAAAATATACAGGTACACATACGAAACAGATTCCATAAACGTATTATTAGTTTGGAGGACTCGAGTTCTCAAGCACCTGCACTTCGTTCATGTGCCCTATGGCTGCTAGGCGACAGAACCATACTGTCCAGTAACGTCTAAATACGCAAACAATGATGACTCAACACAATAACTTGACGTAAGGTTACATACCACCGCCAGGGGTGATGGGCACCTGCCCCAAGTGATAGTGTGACGTCATCTGTCAGGGCGTACCGATCAGGTGAGATGAAACACATGTTGATACATACAACAAAGAGCTAATAGATGCCGAGACGGTCAAGTATATATATACAGATCTACACCATGAGCACACTGTACAGGTGTGATAAAGAAGGAATACGGTGCAGAATACTAGGTCATCCTCCCTTATCAAAACTGTTCACGATTTGTCAATTAATTAAGTTGTGTATTGATACAGTTACTACCGGTGTAATCTGAAGTCTTTCTCAAGTAATTGAAGCATTAACTGTTTGTCATAGAGAAGGGTGTAAATGTAGACAACCGGGTTATCTCCCTTTAAAAGATGATTTGTGAGTATCTGTGCCTCATGTAATGAATTCTTACTTGACTGATTGCAAACCATTCAAAATAGTACACGCCATGGTGATCCAGCTGTGTATTCAAAACCTGCTAGCAATTATACAGTACATAGATACATGTATACTGAAGGTGCTCGTATAGAAGCTGTAGATTCTTAAAGCCGTGCCGATTCTACAGACTATGCCAAATGTTGTGTTATGATGTGTTTAACAAATCTTTCGTAACCACCCAACAACAAATCACAATGAAAGCATACCAGACCATACGATAGAAATCTAGCAGATGGTAGACATAACATGGGAGACACTATAGTACATGTAAAAGAGGGGGAGGTGGGGGAGGGGATAGAAATGGAAAAGGCCCAAACTACCGGCCACTTCAGTGTTCTATGTAGCTACCAAGATGCCATCTTATGAAGCAGGCAATGAGGGGCCAAAGTGGATGCATATAAGTTGACCCATACGATCATACAGCGGGTGTATTCTTACTTTGAATGTGGATGTGCTGTGCAAGGCATTACAGGGAGTGTACGTAGTAGCCATACCCGTGTCATCATACTCTTATAAGCACACCCGTCGCCGTATGATAAGTCATATTCAGATAATCGCTGATGTATTATCCTCTCAACATAGAGTAAGTTATCCACAAAATAATTGTGGAGATGGTCGTTTCAACAATATATTGAGTACGATCGCGACTTCGTTGTGAGAACACGAGACACCAGAACAGCGCCGACTCTGAGAGTGCCAAGATGTTTACGTAATCAATCATTCACCGTATTAGATTCCCTAGACCCCGACCATTCACGTCGATAATGGCATAGAACGAATGCCAGACATGGTCAATACCGGAAGTTGGTACCTTGCGTTAGGTATCTTACACAAACAGACGTTTATGATTTATAATACAATGTTGTCATCGTTACAAGAGATATCAGTTGATGTCGGTCATACGGACCGATGTTCGACTGGGCACGCTGTGTTTGTGTGTTTATTTATTTAATATACACGTTGTACAGTGATTTCAACTGATCAACTAAGTTAACATTGACCAGTTTGTAAGAATTCAAGTTCTGAGTCAGGATCGATGGAGAAGTGTGTTATGACTTCATTATACCATCAGCTTGAACTGCTTCATTCAACTTCTCACCCTGGAAAGGGAAGTACCTGTCTTGTGATGCATTGACGCCGCAGACGAGTACAGGCGCCACCTGGTGGCAATCCGTCCTATCAGGTCAAATCTGACCTCGTTTCATGATGTACGCGTCACTCATTATGGATGCATTTGGATGGTAAAACGCTGTTTAAATAGATAATACCAAAATAACTTTAATTTTCTTCTAACAAGTTCTGTGCAACTCAGCATACCGCGACACTTTATTGTATTCAATCTCAGGACGAATCGACTTACACAAAAAAATGTATATCTTATTTAAAACCTTTAAACACACCAGTCAACATGATAGTCGTAATGTTATTATCAGCACAATAAAGCAAAAAAATATGTTATCAAGGGTGTTAGCTTTAAAATACAGTCAGTTTAGAAATGAGGTCATTTGTGCTCCGATCTATATTTAGATTAAACCGACCAAATTCTTTTGAAATACAAATAGTTTAATTCGCCGGTAGTTTATTAAAGGTACCAGGTCGGTCCGTGTGTTGTACCGGCTCATATTCCCCGTGTCTTCTGTATACTATGGCTTGGTGTTTGTGATTGTTCATTGGGATTACAAATCCGAAACACGTATTTATCAATTTAACTCTTTAGATGGTGTCAGCAAGTGTTTGCCGTCAATCTGAGATAAAACTGTCCGAAATCTCCAAAAAATGAATAAATCATATACCAAGCTGCTTTACGAAATCTAATTACACATTTTACAGGTAAATGCCATTTTCACAATCATTTGTTTTGTGTAAAACGATAAAAATGACAGCGTCGACAAACTGTTTATAAACACGTATCTATTCAATTTGATATCTTAAATAAATATACACATATTCTGCGTTTTGAAATGAGAACAACTTTAAATACCCGAAAGAGCTGTTTTTTTTTAAATCAAAATCATTAATGACAATTAAAAAAGACGAAGAGGTTTAATTGTGTAGTGTATGCACAGTATTCAATTCCTTATATGACTTAAGTATACAGATTTCTTTTCTATTCCTGGAAATTTGAACTATTACACTTCTTCCCAAATATGTGACTGTTACACACTCGACTGTTGGTGACAAGACTATTGCACATTTTCGGCACACGTCTGCATTTTTCCATTCAATATACACATTTTTAATAACAATTCTCTGTGGGGTGAATGTTAAAAACAAATACGCTATGTTTATATGTTTATTTATTAGATTCGATGGAACAGAATATAGTTGTCCCTACGTACTGGGAACAGTCATGTGAGCTATTTCCTCAAATACGAATATAAACTAGCTCAGTAAATAACTGTTATATTAAAAAGGAATTTAAATAAAAACTGAAAAGGAAACTAAGTTAGATTGTTGTAGGAAAATATACAATGTCTAATCCACATGTAATTTAAGTTCAAAAGGTGACAAGATTTCGAAATTACATGTACAACTGTATTTACTGATTTGTAATCCTGCTAAGCGCGAACAAGAGTAGAGGATGGTAAGAAATCCTGATTTTTCTTTTAAGAAAATTGTAAAAAAAATCAGTCCAGAAAAGTCGAATATGATTGATGACGAAGTTATGTTTCTGGTGACTAAACTATGGCTACATAAAGCGATTGCATTGCCGCCATATGCCTGACATATATATAAAAAAAAAAACACTGGTATCTATGATCCGACTGTGAAACAGATGTGACCGCCGTCTGTGTCACATAACAAATAACAGATACGACATAACGTGTCAGAGTAATGTTTTAACAGTTTACACATGTCAAGCTTACGGCACAAATATTGTATAGGCATTTGTCATAAAGCGATTAAAAACGTCATTGAATTGTTTTACTAGCTAGCATCCTCTAGTTAGAGTTATTTCCCTTAGGGTTAAAAATCGTTAACCGGAAACAGGAAGTTTATTTTTTCTTATTAATAATAACATATTTTTATATTTGTGAGAAAATCTGATTACAGATTGATCTATGGTCATGATGTGGTTATTTAACTGTCAACACCCACTTAGGGTACATGTGGTCAGATTTGATAACCAACATGATAATAATATTTGTGATAATTGAAACAGTTGAAAGATACAGCGATCTCGATCCGTACTGTAATATACAAGTGTACTTGTACGATTATGTTGGATTTAAAATGAATAAAAACATGGAACATTTTACTCGAGTGATGTAATTTCCGTCCCTTTCCGGGGCTACAGATTTATAAGATATACGGTTTTACAAATTAACGTCGCAGCAACAAATTGTTGGCTAATGGATGACATGAAATGCAAAACACTTGGGATAAATATAGGGATGGCAAGAGAAAAGATAAGATAAACAAATGTCTTAACTTCACAGCAGGGCAGCGAGCATATCATTTTAAACTTTATTGAATGCTAAATGTCAGTCTGACGTTTAGGGACTATAATACAAACATCAAATTACATGTCGATAATATAACTAGGTGTGAAAGTACTTCAATATAATTGAGAACAAAACTGAAATAGAAATAATTACCGATGAACGCAATATTAAGACAATACTTCGACTGCGAATCCTAATCATGAACTTTAAAGAAAGCTTCAACGATTTTGTCTTCAAATGTGTAAACCATTTAAACTGTCTTTTACAGAAACTAGTCCAAGAGATTCCGTTTAGCAATAACTACATCGGAATCCAACAAGCGCTTGAAGAGACCAAAGAGAGGACCGACCAAATCAAGAGCATCAAGCGGAAGGTGGACGAAGTAAAGAGAGCTAGAGTGAGTTTCCGGACGTAAAAATCCGTTAATTTGAACGTCAACTTATACTAGGAATGCGATAACAATTAAAACTATATATATAAAATATATAAAACATTTTTTTCTTATATAGTATATGGTAATATGTAGACTTGTATATACAAAATATATTCATATTATTTTGATTCTGTAATATTATAACTTCATCCCTCATTTATGCATCATTTCATGATCATTCAGCATGTATCATGTTTTGTCATACTGTAAACGTATATGTACTGGTACAAGTCCGATGCGTTCCGAATGCAGTTACATATCAGTTGACATCCTTTCAATCCATTTCAAAGTCAGCAAGCATGAATACAGTATTTTTAATATACATTTTTTCTTTAAATATACTGGTTTCGAAGCATCCATGACTTATTAACTCCTTACTCGGATATACCATTATCATTGTTCCAACAAACAGCTGTATATATTGGGTACTACCGATGCAGCTTGTTGAAAAAGATATCTTCTGAATCGGAAAGAAAGTCACAAAATGCATCATGAACATGAAACCATTTTCCCAGTCTACCCAGTTATAGAAATGGATACTTACATGCTGGAAAGTCAACATGAGAATATGTAAATGATCACTCGGAAACTTTGGTCAGTTATGGTAATGTCTAATTAGTGAATGTTTGTTATCCTACCAAACTCATTTTTCTGTAACATTTTAAGCTTAACATATCATTCCATGTCTACTCCTTTAGTAAATCATTCATATTATGTGTTGTATACATTTGTGGCATTTTGACAAGAACTTTTCACAAATCACGTTTTTTTTGCTGTGTGTGACCCATCTTATCATTATTACAGTGTCGTGTCTGTATTGTACATACGTTTATAAGCTGATTATGCCGTACATGTACTAACTCATTCACCCCTGAAGACACGTTTGAACTCTTCCAATTCAAAGGTTGGAATAGTTCATTCTGAAATTTCAGGGGTGAATGATATGATAACAGTTGGAAATGGATTTCACGTTGATGACTACTTCAAGATCAGAGAGCGGAAGTCATTAAGTTTTTTACGATGTTCTGGTGAAGAGTTCTGATATATTGATGTTGTCCCATATTACAACCGTATCAATTAAATAATGACCGGAAGCTATAAACTCAGTTTGACGTCACAGACGGACACAGAGAATAGGCACATACATACATGAAACATAGAAACACAAGTTAGAAGGCTCAACATGAGCTAGACAAATCTAGTACTCGTAATTGATTTTGTAGTAGATAAGCATTATAAACGACACTGTTTAGAAGTGTGAGTCTGGAAATTAGCTAGACGCCCAAAATATATTAATTTAATTTAATTTTAATTTTCCTTACACAATTATGGCGCTGTAATGTATTACCAAAGTACTTAATCACATACTAGTATGTAAGAAGGTTAGATACCTACCTTGCTGTAACACTGGTCTATCCGGAGACATCGTTTCTATTTTCTACTCAATATAGTCCTATAATATACTGTTCTAGATCTTTGAAATCGTGGGGACGTCAAATACTGTAAATCAAATAATATTTCAAAACTTCTTTGTCTAAGAATCTTGAAAACAACAATAATATTTTTCGTGAAATCAGATATTCTTTATACCATATGTTGCAAAATTACATTATGAATTCCGTTTCTAAGTGTGTTTTTCATGAATGTATGTTAAAAAAGAAATACGAAAATATCCAGTTTCTTTTCACAAATTACGACATTCCTAAAAGATTGACATCTCCAAACTCGTTTATGCAATGATGATTCAAATATAGAGCGTGCCAAGTGTACTGATCATGTGTTTATATACATGTATGTTTAACTGTGTACAGAAAACAAACCATGCAATGGTGGATGACCAAATGCATTCATTCTATTTGACGTCACACGTTCCTCAGTCTTCCTGTTTCCGGGCCAGGGGCTGCTTTGATTGGTTGTTATTCTGTAAGCGTTGCTATGATTGGAGGGGTTGTATGTCGCCATGTTAATTAGCGGAGCTGGTAAAACTTTTCGTTGTAGCGGAGAAAACCGAGTGTGGTGAGTGACGTATGTGTGATCTAACCTACTAACACGGCACCTGTCCTCTCGTCCGGCCTCTGTCCGGCATTCGTCCTGTTGTCTGGCGTCTGTACGGTAGTCCGACGTCCGTATGTTGTCCGGCACCAGTCCAGTAGTCTGGTGTCTGACAAGGAGTCTGACTTCTGTCCAGTTGACCAGCGTTTTACCAGAAATCTGGTTTCTATCAGTATTCCAGCGTTTTACCACAGGGACCTGAGAATTTATTACAGCTATATTTGGACATAAACTAAAGTGTTAAGAGTAATTATATGAGCATTAGGGGTGGCATTTTTACCGAAAATCGATCTTAACCCCCCGAACGTGTAAATTTACTCTAAATACCTTAGTTTAGGTCCAACTAATGCTGTAACAAATTAGCAGGTCCATGTGTGTTTGACAAGTAGCTTGGTGTATGCTGACGTCTGTCCGGTTGCCCGACACATATTCAGTCCTGTCGTCCGCCTCCTGTCAAGTTGCCTGGTGTCTGTTTATTAGTGAAACATCTGTCCAGTTGGCCGACCTCTGGTCAGATTTTCGAGTTTTGTTCGAGTTCAGACCAGTAGAGCGGTGGCTGTGTAATATTTTGGCGACTGTCAATATTGGTCGGGAATTTGTTAAGTCCGACGTCTGTCTAGTAGCCATTCGTCCTTGTATTTATTGAAAATGTTTGGTATATCAGGTATGTTCAGTATAGTAGCCGAGCGTCTGTCCAGTGATCGGGTATCTGTCCAGTTGTCCATCGTCTGTCTTTTAAGCCGACGTCAGTCCGATCGCTGAGGTATGTGTCCGTTAGTAACGGACGGGTAAAGAAGTTCCGGTTGTCCTACAAAAATGTAAAAAGACAGACGCATCAACGATTGAAGTTATAATAAGCATACCATTCTTCCTTTGTCACCAATAAGTGTCAACTACATATTTACATATCCGCACACTTATTCCCACACCTAAACCTTGGTAGGTTTACTGACTTATCTATGCAGTATCTTACTGACTTCAATGAAAGCTAGTATGCTCCATCCATATTTCACGATATTCTGCAACGTTGAACTTTTATTCTTCCGGAAGTTAGATTAAATCAATACAAAAATGGATTGAATTATTATATGACAAGTCATTAAGAGATAAAGCCAGACTCACCAAGGTGTGGTGTGGATTCGTGTGCTAACGTATAGATAGCTGCATCCTCGATACTCCAGGGGTCACGCTCACTTTTGCTCTCTTCACCCCTGGAATCTGGAACCTGATTAACCGCTAAGGCTGCTGTACATGTATATATACCTGATTGCAGAGTTTCGATACCCGACTTCAAAGCCAGTCAATTTCACAGTTACACGACCGTACAGATTACTTTGATGCCCTTCTCATCCACAAGGTGGTGTACCCTGGACCTTCGATTTGCTATATATCCCAGGGGCGCAGGGAGCGAAAGTGAGGTTAACCCCGGGAGTATCGAGGAGGGAATAGTTGGTGTTTTGGTTGTAGTTAGTCCGACAAGTCTGTCTCGTACAGTTGGTGTCTGGTGCTTCCTTTTCGTCGTACGTCGTACTGTGTGGATGCCACGTCTGTTTCCCTTTGTATCCTCTAATCATTCCGGTTATGTTTACACGTAGCATAAACTGTATATATACCAAAAACTTGCTTTTCGAATTTTTGATTTTCTCAATAGTAATGAGTTAAATACTTGCAGTATTATTTACAAATCATAGATCGTTTTGAAGGTAGTAGTATGAACAAGAAGCATTTTGGAGTAGCGGAACCAATACTGCCTTATCATTCGCTTTATTCATCAAACGTCATATTTCTTTTAATAAAGCTCATCAAGTCAATTTGAAGCTTAACATTTTAAAACTTAATTTTCACAATTTATCAAAGAAGATATTCTAAACGGCGAACGGATCAAGTTGTGTCCCGTCCAACTCGAACACCAGACTAGCGACATTAAGGATATGTGACTCTCTCTGGTCAAATTGAAAAGCAAATGACCCTCGGTGTTGTGTATAATTATTCAGTATCATTAAAAAATCGCCCTTCCGACAATCAGCGGCTTATAAGGGAAACGTACAATGTCATCCACACAGGCGGCGCAAAACGTAGTACTATTATATGTTAGCCAGCATCTATGCTTTTCATTAAACAGGAAACGGAAGTGTAGTGTGTAACATCTAAACCTAACACGGGGAAGGTCTCCTGTCTGAATTGTATACAGTTTCTGTAGATATTTATTTTCAGGTCACATTTTCGTTTTCAGATGCAGGGTGCCGAGTGATACATTGTAATTACTGCCAATTAAATAAACGTTTTGAGATGGTAGATGTAGCTGATACGTATTGGCCGTGTAATAAAAGACATTTACGATAAGATGATACGGTATAGAATAACAGCTGTTCTTAAAAAATATAGTAAAAAGACCATTTGAAAACCCATTATAAACCGCAATAGAAATTTCCAGTGTCTGTTAGAAGTTCAAACTGGAGGAGAATGAACTGGACTGTAACTGACCAAGTACGCGTTATAATTGGACCGTGTCCGACTGTCCATACCCTGAACTATTATTACATGGACAGTCCATACCTGGTTTATTGACTCTGAACTTTTGCCAGTCTTGCTTCTATTTAGTATTCTGCAATTGACAACCCTGACTGACTAGTCTTAGAGATTGTTTTGCCTATACTAGTAGTTATGTGTAGGATGTCTTTCTGATTTCGCTTTTAGAATTATTCATTTTAGAAAACACACAGTATTAAAAAAATATACATATATTGTACACTTAATTCGTTTACACATATGGTAAGCTATCTTCCAATGAAATTTTTGATCAGTTTTAAATTCATTTGTTTAGCAAACCATTCAAAACTTTATTTCTTGTCTATATTTTTTCCCCGATTCTTTCACACGTAAACAACTGGCTATCGGCACTTGCTTTACCTTTGACCTTTGCCCTTTGACAGTCTATTTTGCCCTTTAGCCCGACCTCCCTGGAGATTCATGTAGAGAATTTCATATTTAACTTTTCATATCCTTCCTTCATAAATTATTTAGCTGCTCTCCAGCGAGATTCTGTAAACAGTAACACATACGTATTATCTGAATGAGATATTCACATATACAGGCTGGGCATCCGTAGGGCTGGCGTTTTTGATCAATTTTTGTTTCAGTAATGTTTCATGAAAAGACATATTTTGTGGGTTTAAGTAATGACCGATTATTGGAGAGAGAAAAACGTTGACAGATTTGTTATAAAATGAAATAAGAAAATAGAAAAATAAAAATGATCAAAAATAATGCGCTATCATGTCAAGCTGTCTGTTACCATCCGACCCCTGGAGACCTATAGGTATACAAGTCTTTTTATTACCGAGTAATGTTTAGCGGACCTTGCTATCTACCCGTGTATATAGGTAATAGATTATCATTTGAATGCATAGACGAATTCTTCTGTACAAAATTCCTTTGACAGAAAATCCCAGATTTACCTACATTTCAATATAGACTTTTGATGTGTGTTTTATTCTCTGATCTGAGTATGAATGACGCTCTGTGTCGGGCTTACACCTGTACTGGGATTTGCTCTCGTATATCAACAAAATTGCTTACACATAGGTTCACGTATTACACAGGTATTTAGGATACCTCGGGGAATGTATCAAAAAGTCATTCTTCACGATACTGCCATTTCGGGGTAGGTGTTGGGGTACCACACCTCTAAATTGTTTAGCATTCCTGTATTACCTTAAAAATCGCTTCAAATATCACCCTTGAAAACGTAGCAACAGTGCCTTGTTGTTTAGCCTACCTGTAGGTCATAGCCCTATAGATCGTTATCAAGGTTAACTAAGAAAAATGGATAAATAATTAAACAAGCGACCTTATTCTACACCACTGTGTAGATTCGACACGTCACGAAACAAATACAGAGTTAGCTCCCTTTCATCTGTTACAACAAACGGACCCGATGTTCGGAAATAATCCCGACACTTGCCAAGTGAAGAACGTTTAATGTTTTAGCTTGTGTGACTTTAAACAGTTAAGATCATATGATGACGCTGATATCATAAAAATATACTTAAATAACTTTAGCTGACCTATTTTCCAAAATTACTTGTTTTGTGTAAAAGCTGGTTTGTTACTCCTCTGGTTATAATTTAAACTGTAAAACAGTATATATATACATGTATATATTGTACTATTATCATATATGTTAATGCTAATTGTGTTTTGTGAGTTTATCATATTTTCATATTCTTCTCATAATTCTTGTTTAAAAATCATATTAGTTTTCTCATTTTTATTTTGTACATTTCATCAGAACATGCATATTTCATTTTCATATTGTCTTGTTACACTGACGTCTATTATAATGTGATTTCATTTCATATATTTGTTACATGAATAAAACTGTTACCATGTTGCGCTAATAAGTGTGTCGCTTTAGAGTAAAATGATAAACGTTTGTTCAGCCTACCCTATAACGGTTTTATTGTTGCTACAGAGCCATGCTCAAGACTGTCAAAACTTGGAACAAGAATACGTCACACTCGAGGTAAGTCATGGAATTATTGAAATAAAACATGATATTGTCAGTCAAGGGAATACTATGAGGATCCTTCTGCCGGCGGAGAGTTACGAAAAATAGTTTGACGTGTGTGCATGATTGATACATCCAGACTTGATAGCATCATACAGTATTGCTGTTTACCAATGTTGCTTTGCTGTACAATATAATCGTAAACCAAATATTCTTTATCCTCTTTCATCTAAAGTGCATCTATAAAATCATTTTGTATCGAACGTGCTTCTTGAACGACTTTTAGGTATTTTAAAATAACGTTTGATGAGTATGCGATCCTGGAGCATTCGGTTGCTATTGGGATGCGCGGGAAAGGTTATTTACAGAAAATTAATACCGATATAGCTTTACAATGATGAACCAATACAATATCTTTCTGCGTTAGTACACAAACCTAAAGTATTGGTCAAATCATTTACCAATATTGTGTTTATGGATTTACTGGTTCCGTCTTCAGGACCAGGCGTTGCAGAAGAAGCGTTGCCTGGAAACGCTGCTGTATGTAAATGAAGTCGAGGACGTTCTACAGAATGTCCAATCAGAATTTGAGGAGCGTGCCCTCTACCTGACAGAGCGCAAGAAAGTCTTCGAGAGTGTATATAGAGAAGATGATGTCGAAGCTTCGGCACGCATGCACAAAGTAAAGTTTTTTTTGGGGGGGGGCGGGGGAACCGTTTGTTGTTTTAAACGTATTTCAAATATACAATGTTATTTCAATTAATAAACGACAGAGGGCACGTATTTGTGCAAATTCTGTATATTTCGGCTCTTTAAAGTAATGTTTTTTATGTTTTGTTGCTATTAACCCGGTGTTCACTATGATGACATGACATTTACAAGGTATTGACCCAGATTTACTAAAGGTTATCGTTAACAAAACCAAAGACGCTTACCCTTTAGGAACTCTTGGTCTTATTCCGCCTTTGTTATTTTTCCATATGTTCATCGATTTTAAATTCGAATTATGGTTTTGTGAACACTTCGATAATCTCTTGTTTTATTTTCTTTAGAGGGAAATTGTTCACCTCATAACAATTGACACAGTTACTGTGTGAGTTCCGTCAATGTCAGTAACGATACACGTGTAAATGTAGGGGTATACTTACATTTACAGATACATGTGAATGACAAACACTATGACAACATCCTTATATATATATATTTGTGTACAGGATTGTGTATACGCGTTACATCATAGCTGGGAATGGCTGACAGAGGTATCCGGCTGTATACATCAACATATACGTCACGCCGGAGAATACCACAGGGTAGGTCACGTGATCAACAACCAAAGGTTCCAGAGTTCTTGTAAACGATCCACGTCTGGGATTGATGAATGAATGAAAGAATCACTTATCATACAATCAATACGTGGATTAATTAACGAACAATTGCATTACAGAGTATCGATTGTTTGGTATTTGTAGGATTATTTAATTTATGACTAATCGATGTATCAATCAATTAATCATTTAATCTAAAAATGTATCAATTAATCAGTCTATCAGTCAATCAATCAATCAATTTAAATCAATCAATCAATCAAATGTCAGGCCGGTGAAAATGTATACTTTCGTTGGTCAGCAGTTGAGAATGTTTACATCTATGTCGACAGTTTTACCATGACATCCAGTTCCTAGACGAAGACATGAAGTATTACATGGGCTTAATGAACAGTGAACGCATGAGGTCAAAGGTCGAGACAAGAGAACCAGAAGTCTTCATAAACCACCTCAAGGTATAACAACACTATCTCTTTGGATTGCATTCGTGCTGCTTCCTTATCCCATATATTTGCGATAGAAAAAAAAATGAATGAAATTTCATCAATCTGTTTACATTCTTGCTAGATAGAGAGACGACAAAGTTTTTCCTGTTCATCAATTTTACAAATTGTTTGAAATAGTCCAATGAAATTTTAACAAAATATGAAAATATGAAAACAGGTTAGATGGATCAGGACCCGCTGAACGGCTCGGACATATAATACCGAAATAGGTAGAGCGTCCATCCATCAGGCTCAGTATGGAGGATATCGTTTTCAGATTCAGGTTTGACTTGTGTCTTTCTCCACTTTATTCCAGGACGTCACAAGACGGCTGTTAGATTTCCAGGCACGTGTCGATCGCCTGAGTGACACTAGTACCTCCGTTTATCCAGTACATCTCAGAAGGGACACGCCCGTCTACCCCACCAAAGTCAAATCCCTGGTGGCCTACAGACACCAGGAGGTAGGTTATCACGTGGAAGGGCAGAACTGTACAGAGTAGGAAACTAGGTGACCAGACAACGACACCACTTGTCAGAAAGTTAACATAGTCTTCAGAATAGGGCACCAGTAACACGTGATCAAAGTAGGGTATCACGTGGCGGGGTAGAAATGTTCAGAGCAGGAAACCTTAACCAGAGAACCATATCACTGGTCAGAAAGTCTACATACATGTTGTGCTCAGACTAAGATATCAGTGACCAGAGAAAATTATCAGTGATCAGAGAAAAGTATCATAAGAGTAGAATATCACGTGATTAAAGTATGATATCACGTGATTAAAGTATGATATCACATAATCAGAAAATGGTACCTGTACTTGTACCTCTGTTCATAGTCTCAATTATATATGTCAAAAACCGACAATCAAGTTACCGTTTTTTCGTGCTATTTTACTTTTAAAGACTGTTGTAAATCTTTTTAGTCATCCAACCAGGCTTTGATAGTGTAGAGCATCTATTCTGACTTTCATGACGATTTCATTTTTTTTCTGGGCAATCTTTATCAGAATTGTTCTTTTTCAAATTTTCAGATAACACTTGAAGCTGGTGAAGAGTGCTTCCTCCTAGACAACTCGGATGCGAGTAGATGGCAGGCAAGTGCTTCTCTTACCTCACAAATACAGGACAACCAACAAATGAACGTGTCGGATAATTGTTTTTTTCTATAATTGTAACATTGGCTAAGTAAACACTAACTGTTTCCTGTTGACAGATCCGCAGTAAAAGTGGAGCGGAAGCGGAAGTACCCGGGGTTATACTTGTCATCCCTCCCCCTGAAAAAAAGGCGATTATAGAAGCACACAGGTAAGGAAGGGTGGAAATTAGTAGACTTGTTTTGGTATTTAAGTCACTGATGATGGTGAGTTATAATCACACCCATGAGTTATTATCTATAAATTATTTGGGGTATTAATTTAGAACTCTGTACTGTAAGATTGTGTATACAGCAAAATTACAAACAATTGTCATCGTAACATCATCTCTGTTTAGTCTTCTACGTTTTTGTATCGGATAACACCAAGTCTCGTTTCAATGATATCTGCATCCGGCATCCTCGATACTTCAGGGGTAACGCTCATTTACGCTTTCTGTACCCCTGGTATACGCCATAGCAAAAGTGAAGGCTCAGTGATCGCCACTTTGTGGATGAGTCGTGAGGACTATTTTGATCCTTTGATATACACCAACGTAACGGTAAAACAGACTTGCTTTGAAGTCGGGTGTCGCTCCTCTGTAATGTTCCATAGACAGGTGTCAGCCTGCAGCAATTGGTCAGAGTTTTACCTTGCTAGCCGTGTGCCTTCAACTTTTCTATAACACATTCCAGGGGTGCAGAGAGCGAGAGTGAGCATAACCCCTGGAGTACCAGGATGTATTATCTGATAACCTGACGAAACCTTTTTGCTCTATTATTTGTAAGGTACCATGGAATACTATTGCAATGCCTTTCTCTTTTCTTTAATTGTATCTGCTTCTTTTCTGTAATTCCGTGTCTTCTTTTTGCAGAATAAAGGAACAGATGATTGTCCATTGGGACACAACACTGAAGCGTCTTCGGACCCAGCTAACCCAATTCTTGACCAACAGCATTGACGACACGCCCTCCTCAGAGGTCAGTAGAGGTCAAACGTGATTATACTATATTATTGTGGTCATCCCAAACACAGGGATAAATATAAGAGAAGCCACTTTTCCCATTATACGTTGAATCTACCATATTTCTTTATTTGATTCCTGTAGGAATAATACATTAAACACGATTGTCGGGGCATTGATTTGGGAACATGGTTTTACTGTTTTAAGTTTTTCAAGTATCTCTCTAGTGTACACAATATGAACTGTCCACGTAATTAGTGTGATTTATAAACTAACTAAATTTATATTCTAATATTTGAATAAAGTTCATTTATTAGTTTTCATTTTTATCTCGACTCTTTTAGATGGGCAATATTTCTACCTCTCAAAAAGCCGACCTCATGAAGTTGATGAATGAGGCTGTTCAACTACTGCGCCCCCTAACGGCGGACGACCCTGACTTCCGGGACATGATGTCAAACGTCACCAAATTCCGGAAAGTCCTCAGTCAGGTCAAACCAGGTATGCATTTTAGACAAACTAATATTAAGATACAATAAGAAAAGAGGGCAACACCCAACGTTGTTTGGAATTTCATCTGTTCCAGAAATTTGATCATGTGAGTACAGATTTCAAGAAAAACGCTGTGAAAAGAATATCAACATGACAAAGAAAGAAATGAATATTCCAAGGATGTAAAAAAAGCAACAGGTCTTGCTCTGCTGATACTTTCTAAGCAACGACAGGAAATCTGCTGATTCTTCAATGACTTCATTGAAATGTTTTACGACAAGCCATTGAAACGTTTTACGACAAGCCATTGAAACGTTTTAAGACAAGCCATTGAAACGTTTTACGACAAGCCATTGAAACGTTTTACGACAAGCCATTGAAACGTTTTACGACAAGCCAGTTTTTGTTTCTTTCAGAATCATGCATTGATATATTTTCTATGAGGCTCTAACAACTCATCGTATTTATTTAAAACTTAACATATTTTTTCAGGAGACAATGACACTTCCAGCGGTTCAGCACAAAGGTGGCGATGTAACGGCAAGGTGCTCACCCATTACAAGGTAAATACAGATTACCTCCCTTCGCTTAATATTTCATTTGCTATTGTTCATACATTTTAACTTTTTTTTTTAACCGTTACCGGGTCGATATAATCATTGTCATAACAGATGTAATGAATACATTAAACATATTTTTGTTTGATTCAACTCTTAAAATCATATTCTTCCTTTCTGGTTTGGCCTTTCGATTATATTTATCTGGGTTTTTTTATGTTTAAGTCCAAGTAAAACATGTTTGAGAGACCAAATATATTAAGAGACCATTTTCCTTTACATGTTGCTTTCTATTGACAAAATCCGTCAATATCCTTTTCAAATAATTCGTATTATGAGACCACTCTCAAAGCTCTTAATTGGGTTTTTTTTCTGTTAATTGAACCTGTATTAAGTGACCTTTTTATAAGAAAATTAATAAATGGGGTGATGTGTTTATCAATTTGAACAGAAATTGGGGCGAAATCGGTTTTGGCATGACGGTTTTAGGGAAAATCGTCTGAAATTCTAAGAGACCGCAGAAATGAGTTTCCGAAAATGGTCCCTGGATATAATTGTTGACAGCCTCGTAATTAATCATGTATGTTATCTATTTACAGGACCTACTCACCTATGCTAAATCTTATAAAGAGCACGTGGCTTCCATGCGTGAACAAGAGAAACTCCTCATAAGGGAAAATACAGAAACAGTGTTCAGTTCAAAGGCTTATTTCGAAAGGTGAGGTCAAATCGAACTTTTGCTCTGTTATAATGAATTAATTTCTATTCTTTTGATTGATAAACACTTAGGAATCAGCATTGCTATTTTCATGACTTTATCATATTTTGCAAAATATTTAGCTGTTATAGTAGTTTTTCTTCTAATTCATGCAATTGTTTTAAAGTGATTCTATGATTTATATACCATTTTTTTATAATCTATCTAATTGTTGCTTTTCTTGCAGGGCATTACCATTAGTGGACGTTGATCTCACGACGAAGGAAACTGTATGGAGCTCAATCAAATCGGATATCTATATACATGAACGCCAAAAGGGCGGGCGACCAGTGGCGCCCCCTCGAAAGAGGAGACAACTGAAACGGGTTGTGTCTGTAGCCACTACAGGAGAATCTGTGGCAGACCTTCCCGACTCTGTAGAGGAGAGTTCCTCCTTCGTCATGACCGGTGTCCTTGACCCAAGAACACGACAGAAGATGAGCGTGTTCCAAGCCATGTCACAAGGGATACTGGATCCGGTGCATGGGAAATATATTAACCCAGACACGGGGGAAACAATGTCAATACCGGAAGCAATACACAAGGGTCTGATCCAGGTGGACTATAGGGAACACTTGACAAATGGTGGAATGAACGGGGATGGGTTCTCCCCACTCAGGAATACCATGGACACAAAGATATTCCCCGTGGCAGGTGTTGTAGATCCAAGGACAGGAGAGTGGATCGGTGTCAAGGAAGCTATCTCCGCCGGTATATTAGATCCTAGTAACGGAAAGTACCGGAATATTGTTACGGGTGAGGAAGTTGACCTTTTGGAAGCTGTACAGAACGGTTATCTTGTAGTTGACCCGGCCCTATTAGATGGATACGACGGTAGTACACCGTTCACGTTTGTGGAGTTTACAGACGTGTCATACAGGGTAACAGGAGTTATCGACCCTACCACTGGCCAAGAGGTATCGCTGAAACAGGCGATCACTGCCGGCTATATTGACGAGGCTAACTCGTTATACAGGAATCCACACACCGGCGAAGAAATTCCGCTAGAGGACGCTATCAGACAGGGTCTTGTTAAATGCCAACCATTACGATCCTCAGAAAAGGCAGATCCGAATGAGGTTCTCACAGTGCAACAACTACAGGTCAAACAACAAAAGTTTGTTTCCGGTGATGGCGATAACGTTGATGGCTTCGATGAACTTGACGGACTCAGAAATAATCCGAATCGTGCCATGTACGATAAAGTTAGAAAATATTTCGATCCGAACGAGAGAACAGTAATCGACCCAAGTGATAACTTACCCATTTCACTTGAGGAAGCTTTCGAAAAAGACATCATAGATTTTGCCAAGGGTGAATTCAAAACATCAAATGGTGAAAAATTATCGTTAGAACAAGCTGCTTCCAGGAATTTAATAGAACCAGAACTTTTGAAAGAAATTCTAGAAGCATACAAAGAAAATAGTTTGGGTGAATTGATTGACTCCGGTAGATTTGATGGGGAGACTGGACTTGTGACAGATCCAAAGAGCGGGCATTCATTATCCCTTCAAGCCGCCATTGCTCAGAAACTTGTAGACCCAAATCTGATCTTCCTCTATGACATGCCGTCCCAAAAACTGATAAGTTTGGCCACGGCAATAGAGGAAGGTCGGTATGACCTCACAACTGGTCAGTATTGCAACCCGCTCACAGGAGAACTACTTTCACTTTCGCAAGCAGAGAAAGTAGGTCTCGTAAAATGTCGTTTAGATCCTGATGCAATGGCACGAACTGCTCAAACATTGGAACGTCTACAGAAACTGATGGACACCAGCATTCCCGCCGTAAAATCGCCCTACTCTGACGGAACAATGACCTTAGAGGAAGCGATTAAAGCAGGCATTCTTAACGTTCAGCAAGGCGAGTTCTGGAATCCTAGGACAGCAGAAGTGGTGCCCCTAACGGCGGCGTTCAAGGCAGAGAAGGTCAATCCTCATGCTGCCATGTCGTTACTGGACGCCCTTGATAAGTTGTCATTACAGCAAGCCATCGATGATGGATACATTGACCCGACCACGGGTGAGTTTATCCCCAGTGAAAGAGCCAGACCAATCTCCATACAAGAGGCTATAGGCAAGGGACTTCTGAACTTGGATAACGTCTTCGTGGTAGACAAGGATAATGACAATATTGTTTCACTAGGGACACTCGTAGCGTCTGGGAAGTTTGATCCGGCGACAGGTACCGTGATCGATCCGAACACTGGACAAAATCTGTCTCTAGCTGAAGCCATTGCACGCGGTGTCATTGATGCTGGTATTCGTCCAGACCAATTTATCGACTCGTCTGTCACACTGAAAGAGCTAATAGATTCCGGCAAAGTCAATCCAAGAACGACGGACTTCTGTGCTCCAAACGACCACAAAATGTCGCTGCGTGATGCTCTAGCTAATGGATTCCTAACAATGAACTCTAAGGTGAAGATGGACCATGAGTCCGGCTGTGTTGTTCTAGGGTCCGATGAAGAGGTAGTTAAGGCATTAGTAGACATCCGGGAAAACTCAGAATGGCTACATGGTATAGAGCAGGCCCTTGTGTCCAGACAGAAACCCAGCCAGCGACTTGAGCGGATCAGACTTCAGAAGGATGCCACTGAGGTTAGTATACGTTAACTATCTGTAGCACGCTTTTGAATAATAATTCTTATCTTAAAGCATAAGAGCCCTACTCCACTTGCTATTTATTCATGGTGTTTGGATGGATACGAGTTGTGAGGTTTTAGCATTGCTACTTGCTGTGAGATACTGTTCCTTGTATTAGTTAAGTCTGTATTGAAATGCAACTCATGTTTTCATATGATTTATTTCTATTAGGCAGGAGTTCTCTGAGTATTGTCACCCTTGGAAGTTTAAATTTAGTTTTAGTGGGTGTTTAGTTGTCTTTCCATTTGACCTGATGTCTCCTCGGTTTCTGATGAAGTATTTTGTTTCCAGTTGAACATTTTAATCCTGGCGAAGACTTTAAAATAGAGTTGTTTCCCTTTTCGTTTTGAAGAAAACGAATACGCGTTCATTCAATAACCTTTTATCACCATTTATGTCAGAGTAATGACACTGTATGATTTGTTAGAAAGTCAACAGACCGCATAACAAGGGATCAATTACACAAATAAGTACATGTTAACTTTTGACGTATGGGTGACACAGGAAATACAAATATTGTACACTTAAGGTGTCTTCTTTCAGAACAGTGACTTGCAAGTTAAAGTGAATAACAGATAGATGTGTAACGTTTTATATTAAAAAAGACATATACCATCGCTTATGAAAAGACTGTCATGAAAACTAACTCATTGTAACAATAAAAAAAACATACCGGCTATCTATCTAACATATATACTTACATTAATATTTGTATATAACCTGCGAGAACCTAATAGGGATGCATCAATCGTTACAATATTATTTACGTTACTATTTTTCAATTTTTCTCGTGTTCTATTTTTAAAAATAAATTAAAATGTATATATTTTTACTTTTCGTTTCACTAACGTGCTGGATTTTTCTACAATCATTGAAGAAGGAAAACATTAGTCCGGTAATAATAATGATAAACTGAAAAGAAAAAAAACAATACGTTTATGATTTACATGGCTTGGTATGTACAAGTCTGTTTCATAAACTGTAATACTACACCCCAACACATGTTGTAAGGTCAAAGATTAAACACACCATGTCGTTATTTCTGTGTCTGAAATATCACTTAATCATTGATTTTGTATGACATTTCCCATCAACGTTGTATACATTAACAATAATGATGTACATACTATCTGTTGTCCAGATATAGTGTTCGTAAAGTTTAGAACCTGTCGCATTGGTAACCCCACCCTTTTTGCATGAGGTAACCATGCAATTAATTATGACTTATGTATAAGTACAGGTAATTTGTACCTGACAGCACACTTGACCAGGTCTACTTGGTACTCACCTGTGATTACCTACATCCTACCTGTATATCCCAGGGCAGCTAGTCACTAGACCTCGCATAATGAATGTGCTAGTCTTAGGGAGGGGACAAGTATACTAGTCTTACCTTCAGATGAATCAAGTTCTCCACGTCCAGGTACAAACCTTCTGTACCTGTTTGTATATGTTCACCACAGTACACGTTAACCTACCTGTAACGATATGTATCATCACTATATACCGTATAGCCCATCGCCATCATCCGTATCCCTAGCATGAGTAAGTATATAACTATTTTTATTTCTAGGAATTCCTATTTTTGAATATATTCATAAACTTTGTTATACTTTTAATTAACTTCGCGGTAAATGAATCCTTATGGAAACTTGTGGGTTTAACAGCGAAAGCATATGTCTTATATAACTACTTTTATGCATATCTTTTGAATAGCATTGCTGCAGACATGTCCGACAAGAAAAGTTAGTGCAAGCTCAGAATATATAATACGACATAAAACTGTCTAAGTAATGCACTGTAACAAGATATATATAGACAATTTTTGTTGGACTTAAATAGAAAGGTTCGTTGCTTTATACCATGGAATTAACGAACATAATAAGTGGTTACAGCACTATAGAGGAACAATACCAAAACCTTGTCGAGATCAAATATTGCAAAATAATAGTGAACATGTTGTCATACCTGCTCTTTAATGTAGATTTTAGTAATACTTCAAATATGCAAAATTATGTCTGCCATCCTGAATTATATCAATATGACAATGGTCTCAAATAAAGGTGACTAGGATTTTCAATATCTCAGTTCTCTTAATAATATCATTCAAAAATCGCTACATTCAGTAAATCGAAAAAGGACATAATTGTACAAATATATCAACACATAGAGAAAAAAATACTCAATAATAACGGATATCTTCTGTTAAGTGCTGCGAAAGCTTTTAGGAGTCTTAGTTTGTCAACATGCTCTTTTTAGGGATTTACGATATTTTTGCCTTTTTCATGTGTTTGTTCCCGTTTTTTACACCCTGTGATTTCCGAAGTTGTCCCTTTTCTGTTCTATTTATAATGTTACGTCTTTACTTATAATGTGACATCACACTATAAGCATCCCGGCTACAGTTACCGGGCGTGCTGTAACATTCCGGCTATCTGTCAAAACACCATCTGAACTTAGGGTCTACGGAGCAGGTCAGGGCCTTAACGTCATATACTCGTTATACTACAGATTACACCGACGGTTTTGTCCTCGCCACTCAGTTAGCTAATTGTTTCCGTGTTATAAAACACTGTTTGTCTATACCTTTGACATCAGTCTCGCTTTCCTGTGTATTCTCAGCTGACCTGGCTATTTGGAAATACTTGGAAACCTTTTTTTACGTAATATTCCATGTTCTTTTGAAGACTTGCAACCATTTGTGTTTGTTAGAGTCAAACTCGACTTGGAAATGTATACCTATGTACAACGTAACCTTGTCGTTCCTGATATTATTCGAATATCTAAGATTTGCCGGTCCTGGTGTGTTTTACTATCACATATAAACTGAGGTAGTTTGTATTGTGGTCCAAGTATACAGTATTTATGTTTTGAACTGGAGTAGATTGCTTTGTTGTCCAAATATATAGTATTTTTATTGCGAACTGATGTAGTTTGTCTTGTTGTCAAAATGTATAGTATGCTATGTTGTGATCTGAAGTTCTTTGTTTTGGTGCCAAAGTTTGTAGTATTTTATATTGTGAACTGAGGTGGTTTGTGTTGTGTTCCGAATGTGTATCGTTATATATTGTGAAATGAGGTAGTTTGTGCTGTGGTCGAAATGTTTGCTGATTTTACTGTGAAACGTTCTGTTTGTTTGATGAACTTTCCTCCGGACGGCACGGACATATGAAACTTCTAAGAAATTGTCATGGCTTTATAACTACTTTCTTGAACAAATTACCGTTTTTTACGAGACTTCATTATGCAAATCTTGGACCCTGTGGTGGTCCAGATGTTAATGTTTTAAGTCAGTCTTTCAATCATGGTTAGACCTCATTATGTTGTTGTGTGGTTAGTTTAAGTAATGTGTAGAACTCCCTAACTTAGCTTGTTTGTTCGGCGGTCCACGACCACATTGGTGTATTCGACCTGTTTGTACCAATGACATCGATTGATTAGGTACAGACCATTGAAATGTAAGCTTCATCTCACAGTATCAAATTGACGAGGTCAAAGACTTCCGCTCGTGTACCTGATATGTTAATAAGGGTATGGTTAGCTTTTTTATATGAAACATGCATCAGTTTCCCGAATATATTGATACAAGGGTTAAATATATATCGAACTAGTTTTGGTCTTATTGCCTGTTGATACCAAATAACTTGAAATAACTAATAACGTCTGTATTTCGCGTTTATTGAGAAAAATAGCACGTTAGAAATATTGCAATTCATAATGCTGAGTTGATGATTCTTTGATGAGTGGAAACTTTATTACTACTCTCACAGCTAGAAATACCTGTTTATTGACAATATTTGCTGTAAGGCCCACCACCCATTAAAGGAAGTATACCTAGTAGCACGCAAGACGTGGTTCTTTATCACCAATACACAGCACCCCCGGGTACCAGACCACCCGACAACCGACCTAGCGAGGCTGTATATCTCCTCGATGCTACAGATAGCATAGCATGTCTAGATTATTGATGACCGTGTACTAGAGCTCTTTATGAAGGTTTTCTAGCCCTCGCGCGGTTGTTAATGTGGATGCTACGACGTTTTAGCCAGTGTTCTTTGTAATGGTATACCCAGTCGGGCAAGTGAACATATTATTAGAAAGCAAGACTGTACTAGGAACAATTGGTTATTAATAGAGTAGGTCCTGTACGCACAGTGGAACAACAGTTTACACACCTGGCACATACCCAGTGATGCGGACTCTTCGTTGATGCATTTACAATGGATTTAGTAAAATGTTTTGTCGGTGACGAAATAAGATAATGGATGAATTGGCGTGACAGTTAACTTACAACTCTGCAGGAATTGGGATTTGATTTCTGCAGTGTCGTGATCGCTGATTTACTGATAATGTTAGAAGTTTGCACAAGTCCGAAAATTCATTTTCTTAGTCGGAAATTAGCACAGGTTCGACTATGTCGCCAGGATGACGGTATCTTTCAGAGTGACATTAATCAGGAGTTACAGTGTGCTATAAACTGGAACACTTCTTGGTTTAGTGTTTAGTGTAGAAGCGTATTTTTGCACCATGCAAAATCAATGTGATATAGTTATTCGGCACCTTTGAGAGATTACTTTGTACCTATACTTGGAGGATAACGTTTAAACACAGTTGATTGGAGCACGTATCAACTATAGCTACATCAAATGGAAATACCACACGTTGATGGAACATAAGTAAAAACATTTACCCCCTGTTGAGTAAGATGACAGAATGATGACGTCAGATGTTGCATCTATATCAATTGCTGTTATGGGAAATTTTACATTCTGTATCGATGCATGTACGTTGTAGTTGTTTATAGTGTGTATATCACAATATTACAATTAAGATACACACATACATCAGCACTGAAGGTAATAAAGTGACGTTTTCCTGTTCCAATTTAAATTTGAAGCGAAATTATTCTCCTTTCGTTTCATTCGCACTGACCCTAAGTTGTGATAGATGAACTGTTTGTGCTTCATCATGTTACATACATTGCAGCTTGTATTGTAAACGCCACTTTGCATCACAATGGAGTACGTTCAATTTGAAAGGACTTTCCAATATACAAACCTGAAAAGCATATGTAGTGCACTGCTATTTACAAAACGCTATGCTTATAAAGACGACTAAATACAATACGTCATCTCTGCTATTGTAATTACAGGCACTGAAAACAGAGATTGCAAACCATGAACCGGAAGTGACGTCATCCATTAAGCAATCTGAGGAGTTGATCGAAAACAACAAATCTCAGATGAAGGAAGATGGTGCTCAACAGCTGCAGAAGCTACGCTTCAATGTGTCGGATCTCAAAGTCCGCTTCGACGCGGTAAGTTGATGGCGATTGAGAAACAGTTTAAATACTTATTTGTGTTATATCGTTACATGAACTGATTTACTGATTTCCATAAGAGCTGTTCTCTTTCAATAGGAATAGTATACAATGTTGACAGCACTCTGCTCACGGCTCTTGATAGTTCCTTGATTACTTTTAATGTAGGAAACTAACATTATTGTACAAATAATTATCTTAACCATGAAAAGCTGCTCTTAGATTGTACATACGAGAGAGGTTAATTAATTATACATATATATATATATATATATATATATATATATATGACTTTTTAGTAGTTTCTACTGCACTGCTTTCAGAAACATAACCATGACGTGACTGTATACTATCCCTACCATACGTTTTGAAACGAAACAAAATTCGTTGACAATTTTCTTATTAAATTATGCGCTATAGAAATGTGCATTCTTCATCTCGTCCTTATCGAATGTATGTATTTTTGTGGTTCAACAGGCCTTTGGCGAGACCAGAAGTAGATGTACAAGACTGGACAAGATGGCCGATGACCTTGAGGAGTTTTACAATTCTCTCCAAGACCTCGACCAATGGCTTGACACGGCCATCGAGAAATCTCAGGACTTACAAGCATCACGTGATGACCCGGAAGTGCAACACAGAGAATACAAGGTCAGTCGATGAATAGATATAATTAAATAGGGTCTACCATGTTATCTTCAATTTAACTTTCGTCTTTATTGCCACATCAATACATGTACCTGATAAAACACAAAGTTTAGTCACTATTTGAAATTTGAAGGAACCCATAAATTGATATGTAATAGACATTGATGGAATTAGTGCTGATAATATTTTGATAATTGTTACATCTTTCTAGTATATTAATATGCTTAAGATATATTGTGATTTTTAAATGGACAAAGCTCTTTCATATGTAATGAACGTTTCTTAATAAACAATTAATATAGTCGTGCATATATCAATAAACAATAGTCATATGCTTATTTACAATATCATTCTACACTAAGTATATCGGTGTGTGATCCGGACCATGTCAGTTATACAATGTAGATGTACAACACGGTGTCAGAAGATACGACAGAGTTAGTTCAGAAAAGAAATGTATTGTTCCTGTCACTCTTTGCTGTGAGGCCATGTTAGGTCAACCTTTGCATAGCTCCCCACTTGTCTACTGATGGTTCTTGCATCACGTGATCATACGGTCCATGGCACAGTATGACGGCAGCGAATTGTGTCTTTGTTTTGTCCATAGCAATGTGTAAAAATGAGGACAAAAAAAAATGTACTAACGCTGGTCTTCACACTTGAATAAATCTTTTATCATTTTCCATCTGGTTCTGAATATTGGCGGTCCTCCGACATACCGGACTTTTTTTTAAACAACATAGTTTTAAAAACTATCCTTATGTTTGGCAGACAGTGCTCAGGGGTAAATTCGAAGCTGTCATGATCATCTTTCTTCATGTTGTCAGGGAAACATGACAGGATATTTCTAATTCTTGGAAATGTGTAGAGAAGAGGCATGATCCCGGCAGATTGTGCTCTTTTATTTGAATATTACGAAGCAAATGTAGTAAACGACATCACTTTAAGCCTAATTCCATGTGTACTGTGTCGACATGGCCGTACCGGTACTATCATGTATTTTAAAACGAGTTTAAACATTTTAGGATTTCGTGGAGGAATTACAAGAAAAGGAAATGGAGATGATGCAAACATTTCAGATGGCTGACAGCTTTAGAGACGGCTCTCAGGTAAATATATAATTAGTTGTCAAAAAAATCAAATGAAATGTTTCTAATCAAATATTTTCATTTATGGATTTGTCGTTCAGTGTGTTTGTGACATGATATGCATTCTCCTGTATGATCAATCATGTTTTGAACCAAACGTCACGAGGTTAACAGATGGAAGTACCATAACTATTTATTCACAGTCTACTATCTAACTAACACCTGTAGACAAACTGACGATACTACACAGGATTTAAAACACAGCACATTTCCGATTTTGAAATGTGATAGCTCCGGGTGTTAGACTCGTACGCCTCAGTACAAATAACATTGATTCATTAGGTCGGGATTTTCATAAATGTTAAATTGTAAAACATACACATTCTTGGATTCAAAACATCGTCTTCAGGTACAAAGCATGATCAGGTATCATTGATTTACAATTTGGTTAAAAATGAATTTGAAAACTAACTGAATACAGCATTAAGTTGAAGAAGCTTTTAACAGCTTGGATCTTTTCTATACCCGGATGGCTACGTGCGTTTGAGGTGTGCGCAATCATTGGAAATTTGACACAGTTATCCTGGCATCAGGAAATGACACCAAAACGGAGTCATTCTGCACTCATTGATCTGGACTCCGATATACCAGGTTTTTTTGGCATTGTCAGAATTTCTTGAACTATGTGACTTCAGGTTTGTAAATTTGTAAATCCACAGAAAGTCAGTATAAGAAATGTAATTGGCAAATGATAAGATAATACGATAATCACTACAAGTTATTATAGTTTATATTGGCATGTTGATATTAAAAAACCACAAAGTGAAATAAATCATCACTTTTTTAACGTTTATGTAGGATTATTTTATTGATAGAATACTTGTCGAGCGAATAGACCTTGCACTCCATTTACAATTTGCGGAGTGCGTACATTCTCCTGTCTATTTAGCAGAAATAAATTACAATAAATTACTATGGTAAGACAATATCATCAGAACATAACTTTGAATAAACAAACTTCAGATTCCAACGTGTGCGGTTTCTGTTGACATTTCAACTACGGTCCTACATTATTGTTTACCTGGATCTGATAATGCAGAACGGTGGCGATAGGTCATTCAACAAATTTAAACCTCTGTTACAGCTATTTAATGTTTGATATTTTGCACCAATACTATCTTTTTCGTCAGTCCGATATTAAAGATAAAGCAGTGATTTACGATAGTGACATGAGCGTTAAGACAATAACACGCTTCCACGTATCTAGCTGCACTGTCTTGTTAATATTATTTATGGTTTGACGTATCAGATATGTATCTGAAATTTTGGTATTTAAACCCCTTAATCTTAAAGTCAACGCCTTAACACTTCGAACTGTACACACTATAATCCAAACATAATACTATTTATCTTGTTTTTTAAAGTAAAAAAACACATCACCTTTAAAATTTAAAAATACCAATATCAGTATTTCTGCGGAACATCTAAGGTATTTTGTGTATATATATTTGACCAAGGAAAATGAAAATGTATTCGTAAAATGTAATAAGACGATACAAAAAACTGTAAGAAATATGACTAATATTTTCTTTAACGTTCGTCAATTTGTTACTGAGTACCTGTTCACTCTTTTAATGAAAGGCTGAAGATACCATGCTATGAGCACCAACTCAATTCAATAAGATAAATGAGTAATTTTGAAATATCATACATTGCTAATTAATATTATTTAAAAGCAGGTAACACCGACATAAGTTACAGGTAAATTGGTTAAGGAAGTACATATTCTTAACAAAAATGAAAAATTACTGGTATGATATGAAAGGAAGTGCGGATCTTTAGCTCTAATATAAATCCGAACTACACAATATGTAGTGTGGCGAATATCCTTACCTCTTATACAAATCACCAGAATAATATGAAACGTAGCGTATATGCAAAATAAGGGCATGATGCGTTTTCTAAATAAAACCTTTAACACAAGATAAATGTGCAAGGTAGTGTAAACCGGTATTTTTATACAGATCACACAGTATTGTAACTTGTGTAAGATGGGGGAAGTCCTTAATGTTTTTTTGGAAAAAAATAACATATATGTCTTGGTAAATACATAATGGATTATTGGCATATTACGATTCACAAAAATTGATGTTAATACCTATTTGTATGTAATTTGACTGTGCTAAATCGTATATGCTATATTTTGTGACGATATCAAATATACCACAATGTAACTAAACACACTAACACGGCTCTGAAAATATCATCGGAAACACTTCAATGAATGTTGTAGTTCCTTTTATGTAATGCAAACCTTCGACCTAAAGTAACACTGGTACAAATTTGATCTTGACAGAAAAAAAGAGCTACTTACTATAAAATGAGTTTGTGTACAGGTAAACCAACTGTAGTTTTCTTTGGAAGCAGCTACTCATTTCACTTAAATACAGGGTTTGTATTACCAGCATACAGGGTATATTACAGTGTTGTTAACCCTCCCACAATACTTCTTTCTATATTACCCTATGAATACACCACCAAGGCGTTATACATGAATCCTTGACAAGCATATTTTGCAGCTAGCATATCTTTAAAGATATCAACTTTCGTCATTGAAATCACATGCATGTGCGTATGCATTTAACAAAAGGAAATACAGGAACTCATTTTCTTTGATAAAAGTTAAGAAATTTAGAGAAAAATCAATTTTAAAATTATAGTAAACAATGATCAAGTTTGCGATGCTTAGAGTGGTGACCGAGCCATATATCTATACCTTTATTTTTATACCTGGTATAGTCCTGCTTTATACACACAAACAATATTCGCTGAACCAACACGTGATCGTAAAATACAGCATTGTTAGCATACCAATATGGAAACATGTATTTATACAACAACAACAACAACATGCAAACAACAAAAGCCTAACATATCTATAATTATAGAATTAATCAATATTGGTTAAAAAATGTTTTATGGAATTTGTCTCAATTCATGTAAATTATAATTAAGGATTTTCCATGACATGTGAACTAACAGTGTTGGGTGTTGTTTACCTATTCAGTGCTAGGTCAGTCTTACAAAATGTGTTGGAGCCGTTCCCTGCACTGATATACGTGCGGTATAAATAGGTTCTTAATCCATTGATTGGACTGTCCTGTAAGGGTGTGGAGGATATTTTCTCTACCTGCTGTGGGATCTTCCGGCAGACGCAGCCAAACTCATGGATATAAACAATCGAGAGTGACAATGTTGTGAATGATACCTTGTAACAGACAATTCGATTGGATGTTAACTTTAAAGAAAGGTCAGGTCACTTGAAAGATGGCGGCTTGTAAATCTGACTTTGAAAGTCTGGAGAATATATTTGCGGTAAGTTCTGTACGTGAGGTATGCATTTCGATGATGTCCATGGTATATACTTTCTATATTTGGACTACAGTTTACTTGCAATATTTGATTTTTATCTCACGCATTTATATTTACCTGTTAAACTGAAGCTGTAACTATAACGCGTTGAAAGGTTTAAATCAAGTCATTTGTACATAGCTATTTTTGTGCAAGCAAATAGGTAATTGACCGTTATAAGTTGCATGAAAAAAGACATGCACCTTTAAATTTTAATTCTCCTGAACCTCGGGGTCATTGAAGTAAACAGAAATAATTCATAATGACAGTGCATGTCCCTATCCTGAACACGTTTATCCTAATCTACAGAGTATACTGTTTAGAATATGTTGGGACATACATTTATATCAAACAGTGTTGTATATGATGTTTTAAACGATGAATATATTAAACAATCTGATTGGTTGGATTCATACCAAGGACATGTTTGTGATATAGTACACTAGGAATCGCTACAGATCGGAGAGCTGCCAGTACTTTGTCGGTAAACGTGTTGCGTCATTAACGTAACTGTGGTAAACCTGACTGGCCTTTAGGACGGGGACACATCTATATTGTTGGATATTACAATTCAATCTACATAACCTATAGATGCCACAGCCGGAATGTTATCGGTATAATACAATATCTTTCTACATGTGACTAAACAAAGTTCTACGAAATATTCAAATGTTTGTGTATTGCAATTGCAATGAGCAACATGCTTGAGACAGGACAAACCGGAATCAAATTGGCTTATGAATGCCTGGCAAAGGAAATTTACATCTATTGTAAACAACATGTGAATTATATCGCATACATTAGATGTATACTGTTCAATAGGTATAGCAAGTCAACAAAGGAAACATACTATTAGAAACGGACACGGATCATTACACCTGTTGGCAGCATTCATTATGACCCTACTTACATTGGCTTCATTGTTATGGACAGGGGTCAGTTTTTTTCTGGACAACACTTGGCTGTTCTGGACAATACTTAACTGTTCTGGATCTATAATTATCTACCCAGAGTGGTATCGTTTACTACATAACTTGTATTGTACTCCGGACCCTATTATTTCCGTACCCGTTTTCACCTACTCCCAAGTATCGAGTATCACAGACCTAGCTCACTGTTATGGCGGCCGGGAGCACAATGCGCTCCGTTATAATGTGGAATTCAGTCGTATTACATCATAACGCCTCGATGAAAACGGCGTCTTTTTATCAACGTGAAATCAACTATGTCCTCAGTCAATAATTGCGGTTTTACAGCACTTTGAACATCTATGGATCTTGGGATATCTCTATGAAGAGTTATTATGTGATATATATGTTTTTGTGCATTAAATTATTATCCACTCCATTACAATACATTTGCTGAATTAACTAGAACAACAACATTGAAGTTTGTTAAAAAGAAAATTAGTAAAACTAAAGGGCGTTTCCGTCATAGTATGCTGGATGAGATTGACGTTAACAGCTACATTGATTCCAATTACACTTTTTTTTAATCATCACCTATATACGGACCTATAAAATGGAAAGTGTAAGCATGTTTTCCCTGCATTACATAACAAGGTAAAGTGTATGAGGGACGTTATTGACCTAGATATACTTTTAGGGTGG